GTCTGATTTAAGAATATTTGAGTTTAGTGGTATGTTCTGTAAAGAATTGTTCAATATGAAAAATCCATTCAATTAAAATCCTCTCCATTAACTATGAAAATTCCACTTGAGATTATTTAAGTGGAATAAGCTATTCTTAACAGTATCGAAAATTCAGTGGATATGTTTCTAAGCATGCGTCTAATATTTGAATTCTATCACGATTTCTTTCGTTTCATTCAATTAATTTTCAAAGACTTTTTCAAGATTGGACTATATTTCCTTCATCAGTTTTTTCTATAATTGATATTTCAATTTTTAATAACTGTTCAAGCTACTGTAATTGCATGAATTCAAATGATATAAGAGAGTTGAAGAAACAGTTTTACGACAAATCGAGAAATAATAAGAAAGAGAAAAGACAGTATATTCAATTTTTAATTTAAGTTTTAAATAGTCTTGCATTCACATCTAAATTTAGTTAATACACAATTCTAAAAAAATTTCAATTAATTAATCAATTTTCCTGTTGGCCACCTGGAAAATTATTATCTATGACTTTGTACGACAGTTAGAAACATTAGTCCATGTAAGGTTGTTAAGATCGAAAATTATTTATCTTTTAAGGGATATATGCATACGTGTATATATACATATATATATATATATATATATATATATATATAATGGGGTATTAAAAATTCTTTATGGGTTAACTCACCAAATCTGTGGAATTTGTAGCCGCTGATTACAAAATTCCACCAACTCATCATCTTTCGAACTTGAACACATGAAATTATGGAAACTGGAATATTTGGACTCAAATTTTATCCTAAACTTTTACTTGATTGTTATATATATATATATATATATATATACACACACACACACACACATACTAATTTTTACACCTCAATAAATTTTACCGGAATTAGAAGATCATTACCCAAATCTTGTAAATTCTAATATATGATTATTAATGCATAATTGCTAACTTACAGACAACTAACTAAAATTTTTATACATACGTCTCTAAAGCTTTTGAAATATTCAAAAAAACATCGAAAGTCCACAAAACACTACGAATGCATGTTTGGAACCACTTTACACACGTGTTCTTGATCCGTATAGAAGTTCTTTAGTAGCTCCTAACATGGTAGAAAACTCATCTCTAAAAATCAAAGAACACGTAGTAGATCTTGATAAAATTGATATACGTAGGTAGGTAGTAGATATTTTTTAAAAAATTTGGACATATCGAGGATTGGACTACTCGAGTCGCCTATCAATTGAGTGCACGAGCGGTCGACATATTTGATTATTTATGTATTTTTTTTTCTTTTCTACGAGAATGACGTAGTTGATTATCGATATTAGTTTTTTTATTTGTACTATGCATCAACTAATTAAGTCAATTACGCAACAAAGCTTGAATTAATTTGTCAAAATAGGAAGGGAGATAATTATAGAAGAACGTAATTTGAAATTTTCTAGAAAATTACACAACTTAAATATAAGAAAATTAAACATTTCATTTTCATTTTCCTAGATGATATCATTCGTGCATGAACTTGATTTTATTTATTGTAATTAATGTTAATTTAGTCAGTGGTTTCCAGCTGATGACGATCCACAGATATATATACATATATATATATATATATATATCTTATACGTATGTATATTTGTGTGTTTCCTAGGCTATTCATGCATGAAGATGATGAAGATAATATAGGAATGCACGAAGTGCACGTTGAATATTTTTGGAATTTGTATATACACTTGCCTTTTTTATATGTTTGTATTCATGGGTCTTGACGAAAACCTCGAGGGTACAAACAGAATTTGCAGGTCTACTCGATTCCATAAACTTGAGATATTTATTTCTAGAGAATGTCTTTTTTTTTTTCTTTAATTAATATGCTCATATTGATGGCATTACTTTGAATTCTAATACTCTTATTTTAAAATTCAATTATTATTATTTTTCTTGAGATGGGTTTGCACAATTTTTTAATAAATTATATTTATCCATAAAAAAATTTATATAATTCCAGTTAATAGACAGTATATTTATAATTTTTTACAATCTATGTTTGATTTTTATAAGCACGCATTATATTTGTCAATTTGATTAGCTAAAACTATGATTGTTTTCTTTTCTAGGAGAAGAAAACACAATCAATTAGATACCCGAGTTCTCTAGGATAAACTTGTTGATACAACTAGCTTTTATAATTCAAAAAATTATGTACAATGTCTCACAGTTGATACATGGAATTAATACGTGCATGCATCATATTCACTGCTTCGTTTAATAATATAATAGATGGTAACATAATCGATATATTTTGTTAAAATATATTAGTTTTTCAGAAAATATTTCTACTTATGGTACTCAGATTGTATTTTATTGAGAAGGAAAGCCACTTCTTATATGCATGACTTTCAATGATGATATGGTTCAAGTTCTTTCTAACATCAAGTTTTAAGCCTCAACAAATTTCAAGTTTGTATACCATGTAAAGTATTATGCAGAAAGAAATTACGAATGAAATTCTTTAATTATTTCTCAGTATATTCTGAAGAAGACTATCCAAATCTAACTTTACTAATCTTGCTACAGGAGGCATTAGTTCTTATGTCTAACAATTGGGGTAGAGAAGCATTCCAAGGTTTGTTTTTGTTTTTAGTGTAATACTAAACTAAAAAAATTTTTTAATCAAGATGCTCTTGAATAACTTGATCGTTTCAAGCCCTTGTATGCATGATGTAAAGAGGTAAGTTAGGACCTACAAATACAATATTATTACAAGTGGACCAAATAAGTTAGAAATAAAAATGCATGCCATGAAGTGATATCCTTGACATAGTTAAAGACATGAACTTTATGCCGAAACCAACTTTGTGCATCCAAGTTGAATAATAAAGTTTAGAGCTTAATAGGGATAATTCTCTCATAAATTATAGACATGTCAATAATCTGTAGAAACATGAATGCTAAATTCAGTGGAAGATATGTTGGTATATGAATATTGGCTAGCATAATAGTGTTAACATTATTAGCATTGCAAACAACCATGACCTCAATCCTAAGACCTGCACACTTTATCCCACTAAAGAGGATAAAGTTTATAGTGGTTATTAGTCATACTTTAAATAAATCTTCTCATTTCTTTATCAATATGTCAAAAATACATTTTAGTAGCAAAATAAACAGTATAGTATAAACTGAGAGGAACATAATGATTGATTTGGCAAGAATGACTCTTTCAATCAAATTGAGAAAATTATATTTTTAACTTAGTGAGCTTCCTCTAAAAGTTGTCCATCAAGTTTTTGAGTTTACTAGTTTGAAGTCTAATCAAAATTCAAGAAAAAACTCAATTTTTTTCAAACTAGTAGTGGCTTTTAGATCACAAATGTCCTAAACTTTTTTCTTAGTTCGATTATCTGTATTTATGAAAAAAAAAGTTTTTGATTTAACAATATTAAATTGTTCAATAAGTGAGATAAAATAATCTAAGACATACATGAACAATTAACTTAATCTGTGATGATCCGAAAGAACAAAAAAATATCATCATCAAATAATAAGTAATATAGGAGGATGTACAGCCTCATTAGAGCCATTTCTTATGATAGGTACTAGGGAAGTGAAATTCATATTGGACACCTTTCGAATAAACATTCTTTAGGTCAATAGTCATAGGCTTTCTTGTTTTTCAGGTGTTATATGGTATAAATACTTTTAGGCCAATATGATGTCATTATATGTCCCTCTGCCGAAAAAAGAAAAACTAAAGACTTTAGGAGATATAGTGGTTTTAGAATATATAGGGGAGCCCTGATTTAAAGTCATGAGGAAAAGAAAAGAGAAAGAGAAATATTAAGGTATCAAAGCTCTAATATCCTAAACAAGATTATGGAAACTTGATTTTAATTTATGCAAATATGCATTTACAAAATGTCATATAAGTGCGCTAAGTACAAGCGTTAAGATTTACATATCTCTTAGAGTTGATTTGTCATATTTTATGATAAAGTTTTCATAAACAAAATAAAATATTATAACTGCAATTTTAATATTATAATATTTTTTTTATTCGTAATAAAAAAAATGTACAGAATACATTTTTTTCAATGTGTCCAAACTATAAACAAAATACATATATTAAAAGTAAAGCTTCTACTTATTGTTGTGAGATAATTATTTTTTATTATTAACAAAATAACATAAATATACTAATTATAACATAATATTTAAATAATTTTTGAACGAGGATTACAATCTGATTTGAGTTTATGATTTTTTTTATAAATTTGTTAAATTTTTAATAATTACAATTTAAAAAATTGTATGCTTAGTCATATGTCACATATTTAGGTTTATTTTGAAGAAATTGGTGTTGTACGCATGCTTCATGATATGATGTTATGACATGACATTGTATAATAACTATACATATATGTGTATGATGTGACATAGTATTAGGAAACATTCTAAACATCCCACCATGATGTAACAAGAGAATTAACACATGGATGGACCAATGAATTGAAATACATGGGAAACGGTAGCCTTTTTGAACGACATACGAAACCAAATGCCTCAAGTTAGCCAGCTAGTTGGCCAAAATAAAGATCGTTTGATGACCATGTACATACACATATATATATACACATTTATGTATACGTACCATGTATAACTATAGAATAGATATTTGAACATCTAGAAATCAATGATAAAAACCGAACAAAAAAACATGGTTGTCACAGTGGTGTGAATTTGAAATTTCCAGATGAGCATTAATGGCAACAGCTTGTGTTCTTTCAAGTGAACCAGGTAGAATTAGAAATCCCCCTCGGTCGTATTCACACGTTTTCTTCTAAGTACACTTCTATTAACAGTGTATAGTTTTTAAAAATTAGAATTTACACGTTTTATTAATTATTAAAAAAAATAGTAGAAATTCTCTTTAAGTTTGTTAAACCTTAGAATTAATAAATTATTAGTAAAGTTAATAAGTAATTAAATTAAAATTATCAAAATTATTATCTATTGAAATCATCTTCCATCATAATCAACTAATTGGCACGTTTATCTCAGTTGAAATTTCTTATCCCAAATTTGATTTCATAATTTATCAAATTCTTTATTGGAAATTACAGGAATTTCTTTTTTTTTTTTAAAAAAAAAAAAGAGATTATGTTATCTAAAATCTTTTGTAATTACCCATAAATTCAATTAGTTTTCTTTAAAAAAAAAAAAAAAACAGTGATTCATAATTTTTTACAGCAGTGATATAACATAATTATATTTAGTTCTCAAAATAATATTATATGAATTGAACAATAAATTAATTTAAATTTAAAATATTATTTAATTCACTTTACAGGGTTATTATTTTAGTATTTTTTTAATTTTATATTAATTAATTTAATGCATGAGGGTTATGATTTGAGCAGCATTAATTTTCAAATCCCAATCCCATGTGTCTTTCTCTATTTAAACCCTTCCATTTTCTTCCCCTCCAAACCCACCTCCCTCACTTTCTCTCCGTCAACTGCATATAATACGTACTTACCGAACAGGAAACTAAATGACTAACCCTTGCTCCATGTTCGACGAGCCAGACGTGTTTTCCCGGCGTTCCATTTGGGTGAATGGACCTGTGATAGTTGGTGCAGGTCCTTCTGGTCTAGCCGTTGCTGCTGGACTTAAAACTCAAGGAGTTCCCTTCATTATCCTTGAAAGAGCCAACTGCATTGCCTCACTTTGGCAACACCGAACCTACAATCGCCTCAGACTTCACCTTCCCAAACAGTTCTGTCAACTTCCCTACTTTCCTTTTCCAGATCACTTCCCTCAATACCCTACCACGGCTCAGTTCATTCAGTATCTTGAGTCTTACGCTAACCATTTTCATATCACCCCTCAGTTCAATGAGACGGTTCAGTCCGCTAAGTACGATGAGACTTTTGGGTTATGGCTGGTTAAGACTATAAGAGGTTCAGGTGGTGAAGTTGAGTATATTTGTCGATGGCTCGTGGTGGCCACCGGAGAAAATGCTGAGAAAGTGGTGCCGGAGTTTGAAGGTCTGGGAGATTTTGGAGGAGATGTTTCACATGCTTGTCAGTATAAATCTGGAGAAAGTTATTGTGGGAAAAAGGTGCTTGTTGTTGGGTGTGGGAATTCGGGCATGGAAGTGTCTCTTGATCTTTGTAACCATAATGCAAGTCCATCAATGGTGGTTCGAAATTCTGTAAGTACTCAACATTAATAAATGTTTACTTACATGCCTGTTACGCGCAATTCAATCTGATGTATACTAACATGTACGTGTATATGTATGTGTGTACGATCAGGTTCATGTGTTGCCAAGAGAAATTCTTGGGAGATCAACATTTGAATTGGCAGTGATGCTGATGAAGTGGATACCGATTCGGGTTGTGGACAAGATTCTGCTAATTCTTGCGAGGGTTATACTCGGAAATGTCGAGAAATATGGAGTTAAAAGACCTCCAATGGGTCCATTAGAGCTGAAGAACACAGTGGGGAAGACGCCAGTGTTGGATATTGGTGCACTGCAGAAAATCAAATCGGGCGAAATCAAGATTGCTCCTGGAATCAAAAAGTTTTACAGAGACAAAGTTGAGTTTATCAATGGAGAAAGTCTTGAGATTGATTCTGTCGTTCTGGCAACTGGGTATCGCAGCAATGTTCCTTCATGGCTCAAGGTGAGAATTATTATCTATTATTCTGATTTTTCTATATCTATATTCATGTGACAGTTATGGAAGTTGGTCTTATTTTATAATTTTTTTCAATAAAATCATTAGAAAAAAAGAATAGGATAGTGATTGAAACAGTGGAGGGATTGTTGGTTTTGTTTGATGGTTTAAATTTTGTCTTGTTCAGAGATGAAAATAGAATTATATATTTGAGAAGCTTCTTCTATTATCTATCTACTTGTATTTTTCTGCACTTCTAATTTGTATCTTTGTGGTGGGGGAAACAGAATAGGAAACAATGGACTTAGTGGTTTTGTATTAAACACATACACACACACTCTCTCTCTCTCTCTCTCTCTCTCTCTCTCTCTCATGTTCTGTGTTCTTACACATTCATATTGTTTGGAGAATGGTCAAACCTTGGCATTTTCTTCATATTTATTTCACTGGGTTTTCTGCAAATTACTTTTCTTTTTTTCTTTTTTCAATTGTTTGTGGTTTTGATTTATTTCTTTATTTTTTAAATAATGTATTCATCATGTTCTGTTTTCTTATTCCTTATATGCCCTGACTTGACTTCATTTTTTTTTTAACCATATTTATTTTGGAGTTTTGATATTTCACTCATTGTTTATTTGTTTCTTTGAGTGTGTGTGTGTGTGTGTGTATATATATATATGGAGGAGGGATAACTAAGGGTTTGTTTGGGTGTTTCAGGAAAATGAATTCTTTACAGAAGATGGAATACCCAAAAACCCATTCCCAAACGGGTGGAAAGGCAAGGCAGGGCTGTATGCAGTTGGGTTCACAAGAAGAGGTCTCTCTGGTGCATCTTTAGATGCCATTAGTGTAGTTCATGATATTGCTAAGAGCTGGAAAGAAGAAACCAAACAGAAAAAGAAATCAATCGCAGCAAGGCATAGGCGATGCATTTCGCATTTCTAATATCATTGATCTCCCCTGCTAGTAAAAAAAAAAATTACATTTTCATTCCCTTGGAGATTCAGAAAGATCAGTTAGTTTGTGTAGTAAAAAAATATCTTAGAGAATAAAAGAAAAATGAAATACACCCAGAAAAAAAAGGTAGCCCTCTCCTAAAGGCAGACTCCATGAAAGTCATAAGTATCTGTTTTCCTTTTCCTAGATTTATAGAAAGGAAGATGAGGCTTGTCAATGTTTTGTTTTCCAGTTTTTTCTGCTAATGATATAATTTATTATTATTTGAAAATACAAAGTTTTTTTTTTTTTTTTTTTTTTTTCAAATAAATTTATATATTTTATTAATTAAGTGATTATATATATCAATAATAACACAATCTTTTAAAAAACTGAAATTACAAATAGAAAAAATCTTTTCTTAACATATTATTGACTTTGTCATTCTGGTCCAAGTAAGTCATTAATGCAACTGATGGGTTCTCTCTCCAGAATCTAGGTCAAGCAAGGTCCCATTAAAGTGGCTGGGTCCCAGATTCATTACAACACAACCTCATCCTGACTCTGACCCTCACTCACTTCTTCTAATAAGGATAAAAAGAGAGGCAACTCTTGTTTTCTTGTTGCTTCCCACATGGATAGAGCCCACATTAACAAAAGAAATTTTAGTAAAGAAAATATTTTGTTATATCCAAATTCAGACCCATAAAGAAAATAAAGAAAAGACTAAAGTAGCATAATCAAAATTTGACTTTCAACAACTCAAAATACTAAATTTAGGTCATGCAAGTTTTCACATCAACACCCAGAGATGGCAATTTTCACCTTGTAAGACAAAAAAGGGTTTTAACATGAAGTTAATGCTGTGAAATCTGCAAATATATAGATCTTCCATGAAACACCCACATTAATAGATACAACCAAGTGCAGCCAATCAGACAAAATTCTCTTGCTCTTTCTTTCTCTTATGATTGAGCTAGAAAATAGTTTATTGGCAATAGACATTACCTTTTCACAAAATGTAACAGCCCCAGTAATTCAACATGGAAATTATATTATAAATATTAAATGCGGAAGCGAGATCAAAATTTCGGTTAACATCCCTTACACGGAAACCCAAAAACGTACTTAAAATATAAAAGATTAAACTAACTAAGACAGAAACTCGAAAATAAAACTATGAGTGTGACTACAGAGTCTCTAGGCATCCCCTTCGCCGTCCTCCTGCGGAACGGGCTCGGGAACCATGTCTTCCTGATCTGAAATGGTTAAATAAGGAGTGAGCTACACTAGCCCAGTAAGAACATCACGATATCTCACCGTCACGGAGGTAAAGGTGGGTAGAAAAACACAAAAGACCAATGGAGCATGATTTGCAACAAATCCTTTTATTTATGATAAAACCTTTTACCATCCACTTACCTCGGTGGAATTCATGAAACAATATAAGAAAACAATAACATTATCACAATCATGGAATAATATAAGCTGTAAAACATAGCACTTATCACGCCTTTTGTAATTCAATCATTATACAACATATCCTTTTCTCATTTACCAGCCTACTAGTATCCATGGGGGTCCCTAGGGGTCCCGCTACCGGTTAACCTTTAACATTCATAATCAGTTTCCAGGGCCGTCCCCATACCCCGTCCGGTATAGGCGCCAAAACCATAAACCTCAATACCCCGTCCGGTATGAGGGTGAAACGACGGCCATACCCCGTCCGGTATAGGTGCCAAAACCATAAGATCTCCATACCCCGTCCGGCATGTGAGACCACAATCCCGGTAGGGTTCCCTACGGACCCGGTCCGTCCACCATCTCCCAGGATATCTAGTCAGGCTGACCCCATCATACAATTATCAGTCTACACAATGTTTCATTTCCCTTTTCCTCAATAAGCATCATCAATTCACATTTAAACAAGCAAATCGTAATTCATGTCGAACAGACAACATACAGTATCAGTTCTTCAGTCATTCAACCCATAATTAATAAAACAGTAATATATGCACTCGAAACTATAAAATGAACACATCAAACCCCATAATGCATTTAAAGCTGTAAAACAGGCCAAATAACAGTAAATCATCAATCACACTAGACTCGGGCTCCATTAGCAACCTTAAGTAATTTCACACATGCGTTAATTCAAGAAATACCGTTTTATCATTTTGAACTTTAATACCGTGATAGGAAATAGGGTGAGGGGTCCTTACTCGTTTTCGGGGTCCGAACACGGCTTTGCAGTGCGCTTGCAGGCTATCCCTAATTTTCCCTGAATTTTTCTCGGGGAACTGAAACGCACTACTGGTACCTGCACGTGTTCCAAAAAAAATCCCAAATTAGGCCCAGGGCCCCTTTCGGCCCAAATCGCAACTCCGGCACGGCGGCTCCGCCGCTGGCGGCGGCGAGTCGCCTCGGGTTGGCTGTTTTCGGCCGTTTCCGGCCGAATTCGGCCACACTCGCATCGGTCCCTGTGAGAAAACAACCCTAGGGCCCTCGGGGGGCCAAAAAATCACGGAAAAACGGAGCTTACCGGCGGCGGCGCTCTCGGGTGCGGCGGCTCTCCGGTGAGGTTCGTGTTTTGGTGATTCGGCTCCGGTCAACCTGTAGAGAAAAGAATGGTGATCACGGTGATATAAAAATTGCATCAAACGGAGGCCGGGAAGGGCCTCGTCGGAGGCAAAAACCGAGAGGGGGCGTGGCGGCGCCGCTGGTCTTCGGCCGCATATTCCGGCCGTTTGGCCGGGATTTTGGCTTCGATTTGGCCATAGGAGGAATCAGCGTGGAAAAACGAGTCGGGGGTATGAAATTTACCTCGATCGGCGGTCGAAAATTTCCCCGGTGCGGCGGCGGGTGGCGACGGTCGGCCTCTGGTTCGTCTTCTCCGGCGAGCGGCAGGCGGCTAGGGTTTGTGGTCTGGTGTGGGGGTTCTATTTATAACCGCTTGCCCTTTGATCTCAGCCGTCCATTTTGTTTTAATCTGGGCCGTCCGTTTTTTATTAAATCTGGGCCGTCCGCGCGATTGTATCTGGGCCGCCCGATCGCGCCCACGCGGATCGCCAACGTGGTCCGTTCAGGAGCGACGTGGTCTTGCCACGTGGCAGGCCCCGGTTGGCCGGGACTGCTGACCGGGCCTGCTAACGTGGCTGCCGACGTGGCTTTTTTTTTTTTTTTTTTTTTTTTGGTCCGGGCGCTACACAAAAAGAAAAAAGGAAAAATTAGAAAATGAGAATTGTACAAGACAAACCCATATGAGTACCCATGCTGTTGATCCAAACCAAGGAAAATAAAAATAAAGCATTACCTCAAGTGGCCCATTCAAAAATTACTTCACCACCACACATCAATAAGCTGCTTTAATTTTTTTTTTAAAAAAGAAAATAATGCAGCCATCTCATTCTA